GAAAATCTATATAACCGGAAGTTATGGGTTCTTGGGGCAAATTTGTTCCTCATGAGGAGAGGCATCTCTGTGCAAAGTTTCATGTCTCTACGACGTACGGGGCATGAGATATGCCCATTCAAAGTTTGCAATTTCAATCGGTTGCTATAGCGCCCCCTTTGGCCAATTGATGTAATATTGCTTCATTCACATCCTCCCATGACCCTCTACCACTGTGCCAAATTTCACATGGATTGACCAAGTCAGTGAGGAGAAAAACGTGGAACAGACACACAGACAGACACACAGACAGACAGAGTTTTCGTCATTATATACGTAGTAAGATAGACTCACAAAATGACCAATTGTAAATCAGTTAGTCTAGCCATGTTATCTTGAATTCATAACCAAAGCTTAATTTTTCTAACATGCCTTCACAAGAAATGGCAAACACGCTGATGTTTTGATTGATTGTGGATCATGTTTAACAACAGCAAAACTTTAAAAAAAAAAAAAAAAAAAAAACCATCCATGTACAATCTTTCACACAACTTGCGCAGTACAATCCAAGTCTCATTTATCCAGGGTTATGCTCAGTACTTCCCAAACTCTTGTATTTTCACTAAGAAAAAAAAAAAAAAAAAAGTCTTGCCACTAGAGTCTAGCTTTTGAAGAGACCATAAATAAGTTCCACTTTCAGTTCAGTTTTAGATGGCAAGATTTTAGTGAAAATTAGTTTGTACACCAATGTTTTCATATAGTTTTGCTGCTGTTAAACATGGTCCCCAGTCAATGAATAAATCAATATGTTAGCCATTTTCTGTGGAGGCATGCAAGACAAGTTTTCTTAACAAATTTAAGGTAACACAGCATGACTAACTGATTTACAAATTTGCATTTCGTGATGCAGTATTCCTTTAATGCTTTCTAATGCACTTTGGCATCTTATTTACCTTAAAAGTACAAAAAAAATGATAGTGTCAATCAGTTCATTGTCATTGTGAATTAGAGAATGGTTGGGGCAACCCTATCATGGGCCAGATTTGGCCATCAGGCCACAGGTTTGAATATCACAGCCACTGACTGTATAAAGGTCTTTACACTGGGGGCAGCTGACTGCAGTCATGTGTGACAGTAATGAGTAATAACTGCCCTCTAGTATTTAGTGAGAAACTACAACTCAGTAAGTAAGTAGGAATAATTGGGGATAAGTGTTATCATTATTACATTCATATTTATTGATTTATCATTGCTATTTATTGCAGGTAATATTACAACTACTCCTTAAAATAATAATAATAATAAAAATTGCAATAATAATAATAATAATAATAATAATAGTGTTGGTTCCACAGTATGTGCTCATCATATTTATATTTGGAGATTAAAAGAATACAAGAAACTTATTGTAGTTTTATTTTGAAGGTTGACACCATAACTTTTAGTAAGCAGTTGTGTCTGTCTTGACAGCTTAAAATCAGCGGAGCTGCCGTCTGTATTTACAATCAGTGTCCATGATTTACATTAAAGTGGTGAAATTAAAATTTAGATTTGTTATCCTCGTCTGTTGTTTTATGACCTCTGTTTGTATGTGTTCGTGTCCGTCAGTGTAAGTTTAAGCGCAGTTTACCTGTCACTATTCCCATGCCTGCACCCACTTTTAACAAGAGAGGTTCTCGTGACTTTACATGTAATCATCTGGGGAGCGAGACATGAAAACAAGAACTCACCGACGAGGATGGGATTCGAACCCACGCGTGCAGAGCACAATGGATTAGCAGTCCATCGCCTTAACCACTCGGCCACCTCGTCTGCTTCTCTATGATGGGATGACGCATCACATCTCGACATACAGTAGGCTAGGTGTGATCATATTTATAAATGTCAGTCTTGTTTGGGTCCGCTTAACATGTTCGCTGACGCTGCTGCTCTTACCGTAATGTGCTGCTCAACATGTGTATGCTCAAATCTACCTCCACCCGTCATTGAATCGCAGTGTAAATCCTACTAAAGACAAAGAGATACATAAAACCCTGACTAATCCCCAGACAACTGCAACATATGAATGTGGCGTTAACGTGTTTACTGTAATCCGAAAAGCAACAAGTTACACAGTCACACAACCTGCAGTACATATAACTGTCCACCACATGGAGCCAGAGACCAACACATGAAATTAACCTCCTTTCCCTCATTCTTTTTTTCCTGTTTCTGTTTTTTCCGCAGGAACCCATGTTTACAATATGTGTGTATGTTTGAGTGATTAAAGGAATGTATGTTTTTCTTTCTTTTTAGTGTGTGTGACATTTTACAGTCTATGGACTCTAAAATGTATCGTAGAAACAAGAAACAAGGACAAAAAGAAAACAAGAGGTAGAGCTTTATACAACTATATATTCTACATGATATGCTGTATGTTTAGCTGTAGGTTACCTTAACAAAAGGGCCCAGTATCTAAATATAGATACTGAATTTTGCCTATCCATAAGCTTATGACATAATCTTTTATAGAAGGAAATTTTGGCATTTTGGTCCATTCATTACCTTTACTAATATATCTCCTTTATTTTTTCATTGTTGAAACACTGCCTTATATCCAGAGATAAGTGCCATTCTGCATCAGGAGATTTGGTGTCCATTTAGACCACTTCCCTTTGGCAACACGACCAACAGGCAAACTATTGGTCCCTGCAGCAGTGAGGAAGTCATCGCTATGAAGGTAATTTTCTTAAACCATAGAAGATCTATCATGGGGCATGAACACAACATGTGTAAGAGAGCGCCACAAGTAGTATTACATCTCCAACACAAGCCAGAGCTTCGGAGTCCTAGCCTTGCCATTTTATGTGGGGTCCAATAACGTCTATTGATCATTTTATAATTGATTAGATGTGTCTGCATTTCCTTTGACACTTAATCCAATGATTTCCCTCCACATTTCACCATTTATCTCTTCCCCTATGTCCCTCTCCCAGCATCTCTTATGGCCTTCAACTGTGAGACTCCATCAAAAGGTTATAAAAGTATAATGTTTGCCTTTTTCAGTGCAAGTCTTCTTGTAGCCTGTCCGGCATCTCGGGTTCTGCATGTAAGTGTTAATTTTCTAAGGCACACCAAGGTACAAACTGCACAGCTGGAAGTACTTCCAGAAAATCCTTCTTTGGGAGTGTATACTTGTTCTTTAATTGATCAGAGGACATACATTCTGTCATATAAATCCCCAGTATAAACAACACCTTATTTCAATCTCCAGCCCAGAAAAAAAT